CTGGACAAGAACCTGTACGTGGGTCTATGCAAAACAATTTTAGTCACCAACAAGGTATTCACCGCAGCTGTGAATTTCTCTGAATGATTAATTAGTCAAGATACTAATTCTGCAACCTTCCTCTATTATAAACTGCAGAATAATTACATTTGAAATGGTGACATAGGTCTCAAATAAGCACAAACCCAGGTGGTATGCGTTCACTGAAATAGGTATTCCTCTCATCCAGAACACACTGAACATGCACAGAGTGCTGTAAATATATTTAACATGTGTACAGAGTGTGCTGTTCAAAACGGTATTATCATTTGTGAGTATTCCATTATTCATTTCAGGTGTTCAGAGCGGTAAAACACTGAAGTTATAACCCAGGATGTAGGTCTCAATCAGCAAAGACCTGCTGCCTAGAGGGACTTTTTAGATACAATTTACTTTTTTATTTTGTTACATGGTAATTGCATATGAGATATACTTAAAAAAAAAAAAAAAAATGTTGTAAAAGTTTTTTACATTTAAAAAAAAAAGATTTTAAGATTTTTCAGTTTTTAAAACACTCAGAGAAGACCCTGTAGGACGCGCAGGTCTCCATCTTTCAGAATTCACCATAAGTAATATACATGTGCAATTCGTTTCAGTCCGAACAGCATTCGGACGAATTTCAGGCAATTCGGACATTCGGGGAATTCCAAATGTCCGAATAGCTGAATTGCAGAAGTTCCAAAATTGCCGAATTTCCGAAGTGCCGAAGTTGCAGAAGTTCCGAAGCACAGTATTGCCTAAGTACTAATATACTTATCCAGTGGAAGAATGTTACACTGTATACAAGTTTAAATAAAAAGTATACAAACATAGCCAGGATTCAGCTGTAAGCATTTGCAACACTTACAACAATCAAGTAACACATTCATATAAAATGTAAGTTACTTAGCCTGTCAATAGAATGACAGGAATCAATAAGTAGATAACTCCCTAATTCCCACGGTATTAGGGAGCTATCTACTAAAAGGCTGAAAGACCTAAATTGGTCTGTCAACCAAATTTACTAATACTAAGTAAAGATTACTTAGTATTAGTAAATTATGCCCCTACTCGCTATACTGCGAGGAGGGGCATGTCAAGTAAACAGGGAGCAGCCTGTAGCTGCTCACAGTAAAAAAAAAACAACAAGCCACGTCCCCCGTCACAAGCCGCGCGAGTGGGGGCTTCTAACCTGAAGGGGGGACCTATTGCCCAGCCCCCTCCCGGCCCCCACCCCTGAACAGTGGGTGGGGGGCCCTAAAGTAAAATAATGGGGGGGACCTATTGTCCTGCCCCTGGCCCCTACCCATGAGCAGTGGGTGGGGGCCCTAAATTAGAATAAGTGGGGGGACCTATTGTAATAGGATCCTAATAGTTAAGGATTTCTTGTAAACTGAGGAGCAAAGCTTAGGGTGATGTAACTAGAGCGGGGCTGGTTTTAGTAGAGGGGGGTCATCTGTGAACCTCTGGATTACTATATGCACAGAACTCCAGAATGGATGAATCAGAGGGCAGTCTCACCAGAGGTGGAGGAGAGATCCCGCTACCCGTTTGCATCTCGAGCATCTGTTCTTCAGGGATGGCTTGATAGCGTGTAAAAGGTGGGGCGTCTTAGACCAATATGTTAGAAATTTGTAAGCAGTTTCCTGGATTTCGCTAGAAACCGGGCAATGTTGTGTCAAATCACAGATTTTCTGCCATTGCGATGTGGTTGCTATGGAAACTCCGTAGCCGGTGCTTCTAGCGCTGGCTAGAGCGTATAGAAATTGAGTGACATGACATCACTCTGTTCTGATGCTGGCAATGCGTCCCAAGCAGGGCAAATAAAAAAGACTTTGGGAGGAGCGCAGGCAGAGACAAGGTTGGCCTGGAGGTGGGTGTTGCATGAAGACTAAGAACTATGAAACGGCGCTAAAATCCTATTAAAGCAGCAATACCACCATGGTAAATAAGCATACATAGGGTGAAATGAGAATTATTAAAATGTATCTATAAAAGATTTTGAATGAGGTGGGAGAAAAAAATGAATTATTTGGGGAGCTGGAGATGAAAAGCAGGGCTGCTGTAGATGAAGTAAAGTCTCACAATGAAATGAAGGTCTAGAGCTGAGAATGGGGGGGCTTCAGAAAGGCAAAATGTTCTGTGTATCTCCATTAATGAATTTAATATGGTGCTCCTGGTCCTCTTCTATATTGTGCTTGGGAGTATGGCACATCTGTATCATTGAGCACCCTATATGATTACAAAAGAGTGTTCCATTTTATTTAGAAATCTAGTTCTCCATTTGTTATGGTCTACGACATCACTCGGCAAAGAATTCCCTTCCTCCATTCCCTCTTACTTTCTACAGCAATCAGCAGAATCGCTGCTTCTATAAGTCCAACTATTCATTCAGATATATCAAGGAGGAAGCAATGTTATGCTCTGCTTGACAAGATGTTTTCTCTGCAGCTCTGCAAGCCTTCCTCTTCGGAATCAGCCCAGACTTTCTGTGGTTGTCCAATCACAGACTTCCCAATGCATTTCAATGAGAAAACAGGTGCTCTTGACAACTGCTGCCGTTTAAGTTTAGCTTCACTAACTTAAACAAACAGGAAGTAACAGGATCGGGGAAATGGAGTGTCCCTTTAATATTAATACGTATTAAAATAAATTTTGTTTTACTGATATTTTATCTTACCATATTTTAGTAGTTCAGACAAGGTGCAAGTAAAAGGTGGGCCAGGAGATGGAGAGATGTTTTACATAATTTTTCGTTCCTATTTTGGCATGGTTTTTTTATAACAATTTATAAAAAAAAATTGTTAAAAAAAAAACGGGCAATGTTGTGTCAAATCACAGATTTTCTGCCATTGCGATGTGGTTGCTATGGAAACTCCATAGCCGGTGCTTCTAGCGCTGGCTAGAGCATATAAAAATTGAGTGACATGACATCACTCTGTTCTGATGCTGGCAATGCGTCCCAAGCAGGGCAAATAAAAAAGACTTTGGGAGGAGCGCAGGCAGAGACAAGGTTGGCCTGGAGGTGGGTGTTGCATGAAGACTAAGAACTATGAAACGGCGCTTGAGGAAAAGTGAGTAAATCTTTATATTTTACATTGAATATACCACGTGTCTTTATGATTTATGGTGTAATCAATGTATATTGGAGCGATTTCATGTAAGCTGTTTTTTTTCCCCACTGCAAAGTGTACATGTGATGTACAATCATGAGTACAATTTTGTAGAAATGTCATACAGATCAATTTCCTTAAAGTGAATCTGTCATCCACCAATCATGTGTATGACAATTTTACCTTCAGGTTGGTAAATATATATATACCTCACGCTGACAAAATTATCATTAAATATTTAGATTGAAAGATATACAGTATTTACCATAATATCACTTCCTGCTCCTTTAACAAGGACTCTTGAAATGGACAGAATTGCTATATGTGTAGCACCAAACTTTAAATGACAGTATTGCAGTTAAAGGATCACTACAGGATCAGGAACACAAACATGCATTCCTGACCCTATAGTGTTAAAATCACAATCTAGCCTCCCTGGGCCCCTCATGCCTCCACAAATATATCAAAATATTACTGGATTCAAGCCTGAAGATGTAGATCTGCATGCTGTTTGCCTCAGAAAAACAAGCTGTCTGCTGACATCATCAGAAGTGGTGGCCTGATCCAATCTCAATGCTTTCCCATAGGATTGGCTGAGACTGACAAGGAGGAAGATCAGGGGCAGAGCCAGCATGATTAAAACACAGCCCTGGCCAATCAGCAATTCCTCATATAGATGAATTGAATCAATGAAGGAAAGTTCAGTGTCTGCATGCAGAGGGTGGAGACATTGAATGTTTGGATGCATTTTAGGCAGCCATGACCCAGGAAGGATCTCTAACAGCCATCTAAGGAGTGGCCAGTGAAGTTATCAATAGGCTGTAATGAAACACTGCATTTTCTCTGAAAAGACAGTGATTACAGCAAAAAGCCTGAAGGTAATGATTCTACTCACCAGAACAAATTCAATAAGCTGTAGTTGTTCTGGTGACTATAGTGTCCCTTTAAGATCAAAAAGGCAAAAAAAACCCTAACTAGGTTTTTCACTAAACTTAGGATTTTAAAGAATCAAATGCGAATTTTAATACTGACGTTAAATTAGCTGATTTGGAAAAATCAGTACTTGTCACAACTTAACTATTTTAGCTTTAATTTTACCATATGTATTGAATTATTTAGATATATTCGGGGCCAATACAAGCCATTGTCTGGATATCTATACATAAACAGGACTATACACAGGACATGAGGTCATGCATTTAGACTGGAACAAAGGAGATTTAGCCTAAGGCAAAGGAAAGTTTTTTTTACAGTAAGAACAATAAGGATTTGGAATTCTCTGCATTAAGAGTTGGTTGTATCAGAGTCTGTACAGATATTTGAACAGCAACTAGAAGAATATTTGCAAATATATATATATTCTGGGACATAATATAAAGTGTCTTGATCCAAGGAGAGATCTGACTGCCATTCTGGGTTGAAGATGGATTTTTTACCTAGTTTGTTGCAAAACTGGAAAGTGCTTAAAACTGAGGTTTTTTTGCTTTCTTTTAGATCAACAGCAAAAAACAGACGTGAGAAAGGCTGGACTTGATGGACGCATGTCTCTTTTCAGCCTATGTAACTAATTTATAATAATGTATTGTTTAGTCAGTATTTAATAAGCATACAATTGCTATGTATGTTGAGATGTCATATTCCTTAAAGAGATACCACTTCATGCTTGGCATCACTAAATAACAATACTTTGCTTTAGCTATCCTTATTAATTAAACTCCTAAGTGTAGCATCATGAAATCAAAAAAGCTACCTTTAAGCTAAAATCACCAAGCTATGATTGGCTATCATTAGTGATGTCCCGAATGGTTCGCCGAACGGTTCGCCGCGGACTCATCATTGAGTAAACTTTGACCCTGTACCTCACAGTCTGCAGACACATTCCTGCCAATCAGCAGCAGACCCTCCCTCCCAGACCCTCCCACCTCCTGGACAGCTCACTAAGAATGCAGCTTCACAATGAATGTAAAATGGATGCTGAACAGGAGGTGGGAGGGTCTGGGAGGGAGGGTCTGCTGCTGATTGGCTGGAATGTGTCTGCTGACTGTGAGGTACAGGGTCAAAGTTTACTCAATGATGAGTCTGCGGCGGCGAACCGTTCGCGAACCGTTCGGCGAACCGTTCGGGACATCACTAGCTATCATTATTATCATCAACTATTTTAACATCAGTATCAACATTTAAATTTATTAAAATTCAACACTGACCTGGTTATTTACTTCACCTGGTGCTGGATTCAGGGCAAGTAAAACCTTTTTTTTTGCAAGGAATTGAGTGAGGAGACCTACTCCACAGTGCTCAATAGGGCATTTTACACAGTAAAGGTCTCCTTCTCAAAAGGGTTTAAGCAAGTAAGTAACCTTTAAGTAAGGCCTGACTAGCTGAAATGAAAGCAATTTTGATCTTAAATGTGAATTTCTCTTTGAGTTCACTTTGAATCCTGACTTTGGTGAATAACCCTGTTACTGAATAAATCCCATTGTGTTAACTGGGTTTACTAATTCTTACATTAATTTTCAACAATAGTTAACAATTTGAAGTTTTACTGTTAGCTAAACCTACTGAATTTCACTGCATTCCATGTGCATGAAAACTCAAAGACTGATGGACTGCTACAAAGGGTGATTCTATTAATATATATTATTGAAAGTAGCGTCTGTTTGTAACGGATCTGCTTTCACTGCTTCTGCTTTTCCCCCATTACTATATGCTTCCGTGGTCCTATCATCTTAAAATATATATTTTTTAAAGTATACTAATCAATAGCGCATACTAAACTCTTCAAATAGTTCAGTAGTTATTAACAGCTTAAATATTTTTTTTATTTTTTTACCGAAACATTTATTTAAGACATGAATGCATTATGTATTCAACAAAAAAGGCTGTTTTGAATACAGATTGCTGTTCAGGGATATTTCAAATTACAAATTATGTAACTTTTTATTTATTCTTCCAACCTTTAAAGAATTATGGAGGGACTATGATCAAACAAACTGCTTATTAGTAAACAAAAAACAATGGTAATGTCAACAGAATGCAAAATGAATGTTTGAGCATAAAACCTTCATACAATGATTATGGTTGGGGTGACTTGACTTGCAAAATCTAGGCCAAAAATCGCAAAGCACATAAAACACATTTTGCAAGTCAAGTCACCATAACTTTGTTCTTTTTAGACCTAACATTTTCAAATGGAATAATTCCTTGAGTGTTTATTATAATAAAATCTAATTTTTTTCCCCATGTAAAGCTTGTCTATTCAAATAAACTTGGACAGCTGAATAAGCAGTTATTGAATAGATTAAATATCCTCTGTGTTGCACATCCATTAATATATCTGAAATAATAGTGATATAAAAAAAACACATTGTAGTCAATAAGGCTTTTATTTTTTTTTTAAAATGACTTTCATAAAACAAAAATTATGTAAAATTAAAAATGTAGTTTCTACATCTATTTAATCTATTTAATTTAAAGCGATACTCCACGGGCGGAAATGCTTTAGGGGTCAACTGCAAACTGCAAGCCCCCCAACCTATTTAATAAAAGTATCAAGAGATAGTGACATATTTATAAATTTATTTAGGAAAATCTCCCTATCAGTCAAGTTGACAGACAACAGGGCTTACTGATTCACTCTACTTTAATGATCATTCAAGCTAAAGTGAAGGCTTCAATAGGGAAGAATTAGTAGAAAGTTTTACTTTAAGAAACATTCATTTGGGTGATCTGAGTCTATTGTATTGGGTGGTGCCAGGATAGATAGGGTTAAAGGAACACTCCAAATGTTAAAACCAAAATTAAATTTTTAATCTTGGTGTGCCAATTGGCTTGCACATCTCCAGCATGCAGAGGGCTAATATAACCCTAATAACTAGTTTAACTCATGTCAAAATGTAAATTCTTTTGAATCTTGGCTATGTTTCAGAAGTTTGTTTGATTCTTTTTTTTTTGCTAACTGCTGTGATAAAGCGGTATACGTTTACACTGACAGTGAGAGGACAGGAAGCCACTAAAAACTGAGAAAAAAAATTACAAAATCGAGACGCTCTCATTCTTCAGAAAAGTCCCGCTTTCAAAAATGCTTTTAACTCTGTGGGAGGCCAGTGTAAACGCCCTGAATTACTCATTCTTCATAGACTAAAAAAAATAAAATAAATGAAAAGCCCTCTATTACTAAACACTAGATTATTTTCAGATAAGCTAATTTATCTACAACATGTGTATTATAAACTAGTTGCTTGCTATTGACCAGAGATAGGAAGGTTAAATATAGTTTTGTATCACTTCTCTATTCCTCTCATAGGTGCAAGGAAGGACATGTGCTACATAATGTTGGTCTGAACAATTATGTCTCTTTATTTCCAGTATATTTTGAGTATTTAAAGGGGAACTCTCACTACGCATGATTTTTAATAGTATCTTTACTTAAGAAACAAAAATGTATTTGTGAGATTGCGAATAAAATAGCATTAACTAGAATTCCACACCTTTTTTTACCTTCTAACTAAGTGTCTCAATCTTAGCTCCCTGTGTATCATTCAGGTACCCTTTTTTAGCATTGAGAAAGCATGCAGAGAAGAGGAGAAATGAAACAATGTTCGTATTTCTTCTCCTTATTTGCAATCTGTGCCTTGGCCCTGCATGGATTGAAGTGGGTTAAGATTTAATTTGCTAAATCTATAATATACATATATAAAACTATAGCATCACATGAAAAAAATATTACAAGTGATAGGTGATTTTCAATGATTGATTGAATGGTGTAATTTCCAGAGAAGCGCGATTCTGGAGCAATGTTCTGAATGTAGCATGGAGAGCAGGCCCAGACTGGCCATTGGTTGGCCGCGATAGCCACGGCCGGCAAGGGAGATCACAGGATCTCCCCTGTCAGTCCATGCAGAGCCGGCACTCTCCGAGTGCCGTCAGGCAGTTACATGTGGCCGCCAGCTGCGGAGGGAGAGGAGAGGAGGACCTGGGGAGCTCTAGCCAGATCTATCAGATCTTGCGAGAGTTCACTCACCGCTAAGACCACCAGGGATGGCAGCACGGCACCCCTCCCAGTCAAAAGGTAAGAAGGGCGGGGGGGGAAATATAAAGTTTTTTTTTATAAATACAAAAATAAATACATATTTTATATATATTCAAATTAATCTGTCTCCCTCCCCCACACACACAATCTCTCTAAACATATTCACACACACAGAACCCACACACACAGTACCCTCAAACACATAGCCCCCTTTACACTCATAGCACTCTCACACACAGCACCCTCACACACACACGCTGCACCCTTCAGATATACACACAGTACTTCCAACACACTGCGCCCCTCACACATACAATACTTCCAAACATATATATATATATATTAAGCACCCCTACAGCACCCCTCACAAACACACACTGCGCCCCTACACACATTACATTTCAGATATATGTTAGATCCCTTACCCAACTCTGGATCATCTAATCTACACACACACACACACACATACACACACAAGATCCCTATATACATTCTGAATCCTCTACACACACACACTAGATCTCCTATACACACTCTGGGTCCTTCACACACTGCACAACCTACACACACTTCATTCCTGACATACAAACTCTGGATCCCTTATGCACACACTACATTCCTTATAAGCAAACACAAATACACTCTCTACAACCCCTACACACACTACATCACTTATTCACATACACACACTTGCTACATCCCCTATGCACACTATGCCCCCTATACACACACTCTCTACAGTCCCTAGCCACACATATTACACCACAAACACAAATGAAATCAACCTATTTACACAATACCACACCACAATCAGCTCACTCTACACACACGCAATCCTACAAGCAGGCTCCAAACACATGCAAGATACGCTTATCTGGCCCTTTTGTCCTTTGGTATCCTACTTATGGAGACACCAGAGACGAGTTAAAAGCAAACACAGCACAAGCATGTTATTACATTTGCTTGTGCTGCACAGAACAAATACAGGGCTTTTTTCTCATGCTAGAGCTCTTCAGCAGGGCTCTGCGCATTGAACCAACGTGCTTACTTTGTCATTAGTGATGACAAAACACACTCTCTCTGGCACTGCCACCTTCTCAGGGGGCCGCTGTGATTGAGAAATGCCCAGGCTGAATTTTTTCCCCAGTCCGGTCCTGATGGAGAGCATTCCAATGATTGACTGTAATTACTTCTCTTTGATAAATCTGCATTGCATAAATGTAAATTTGTCCACAACTTATTGCAACTACTTTGCTGCATGCTTTAGCTTGTTATACCCCTGTTTGTAACAAACCAAGCAACATTATTGTCAAAAATGACTGAAAGGTACTATGGTCTATAAATAACCAAGGCTGTATGTCATTCTTGTGTTGTATATAAAGGCATCACTAAGCAACCTCTCTGAGCTCTGGCACATGAAACGGCCAGTCTGTATTCTCACTACAATGAGAATTCAAAGTGATTTTAAACTTTAAGGTAAACTTTAAAATTTGACAGGAAAGGGTGGGAAAAATTTAAATTGGGGGGGCGTGGGTGATGGGTTGCCAGAGCAAGCACAAATCCTAAGTACACCACTGCGTATCTGTCAGTTAGTGTATATGTGTGTTTGTCGGTGAATGTGAGTATGTGTGTAACTGTGAATGAGTGAGTGTGTATGTCTGTGAATGTATGTTTCAGTGAAAGTGTGTGTTGGTTAAACAATGTATGTGACAATGCCTGTGTATCAGTGAGGGCGTGTTACTGTCAGGAAGACAAATTTGGAAGGGGGGCGTGGGTGCCTGAGCTTTGTCATGACAAGTACGTCATTAAAACTTACCTCATAATATTACACCATTTGTAAAATCCACTACCCAAAGTTATTTAATTCAATGGATTTTGAAGCGTTTCATGATGCCATTTTATGACCATTGTTTTAAAATTAGTGACAGTCATTATTCTGTATTTTTTTTTTCCTACATTGCACTAAAAGTTCAAACAATCCTTAGGGACCTGCCAATTTTTGGTTTTG